TACTTCAGCAACAAAACCGATGCTACTTTTAAACCATCTGTTATAATCAGAATTATTAATGCTTTTAAAATAAATTAAATACTGGAACGGCCTTTGCTGACCTCCTGAAAATGAGGGTTGACTGGCTGTCTCTGACTTCTCTACTTTCTGACCCAGAGCAAGCAATCAGCAAGGGAAGCTAGAACTCCTGATTCTCAGTGAGCAACCCATATTGTCAAAGCTAAACCCTCAGCATGACAGTGAGGAAAGTAGGATTTGCAGAAGGAATGGTTTAGTAATGACAGTCCCTGTATTCCTCTTAAGACTGGCTTCCTTTAATCTGCCATGTTTCAAATCCCTGTGTGGATAAATGTAATAATTGCATTCTTTACCACATTCAGAAAAGTACAGGCATGTACATATTGAAAATATCCAAGTTCTTCTTTGGTCCAGCAGTTGGGAAAACTGGACCCCAAGAATAAGGACAATTATTGAATTTCAGCCAGCCAACTATAGACTAAATACTTGAAGACCAAGGTAGAGTTGCTGGGTGCCAGTCTCTCTCAGATCTCTGTTTAATGCATGACCATTTCCATAGGCATTTTTAGACCTAGGATAAAGCTTTAAACCAAAGAAAACTGTGCAAAAGGTATACGATACAAATATTTAATTATACTCAGTGATCATGACACACATTTATCAACCCGAACAGGCATAACAGAGCCATTTTTGTTGCCATATTATTAAAGAGGACTTGTACTGTAAGTCGTGCTATAAAAAGGCAAACAGAGGGCAAATGACTAGTCAGCAGTATTGGCTCCATGCAGCTGATCTTTTCCCCATTACTGACTTACTATGCCTTGTTCTGCACTGTGTCCCCGTATGGTGGTGGCCATCTTGAAAGAGGCAGGGCTTTCTTACTTATAGAGTGAATTAAGTAGAAAAAGGGAGATTCTGGCACTTAAGGTCCCTAGGTACAGATTTCTCTCCAACAAGACCACTGCGCAGGACAGCAGTGACATCACCAAATTTCACTCCCAATTTCATTAGCCTAGGTAGTCAGAGGCACAGTGCCTTAAATGATCTCATACTGTAGATATACAGCTATTAGGCTACAAAACAGGCACACCTAAACACAGGCACCATGGCAAGTGCCATTTTTTGAAAGGTAAAAGTTAATTTTTCAGGGTACTGCTCAGGATCAACTAACATTTATGTATATTACCTATAAGATACCATTTTGTTATAAGATGTTTCCACCCTTTTTAAAGCTCTCTGTGCAGCCTACCTTTGCATGAATTTCTAACTGTGCAATGCAAGGTTTTGGAGTTTTAAACCATTTGGGGGTATGTCACATGGGCAATATTGTACCAGCAAATCACTAATACCTGTAATGCCAATATTACCAGCAATTTGCAGGCATCCTTTTCATCAATTTGTTCCCTGGCAATTTGTCACAAAAATTGATAACATGATTGCAGTCCCAGTTATATTTGTGCACACATGATACACTTATAGGGTTATTCACAAAAGGGTGAATAGATTGGAGAAGGCAGGAGAAGTGAACAATCTAGGACAGCATAGGTGAACTGGAAAGTGAGCTGAAATGGAGAATCTTTCCAAATCAGCTATGTTGTCCTAGATTGTTCACTTCTCCTGTCTTCTCCAAACTCTTCACCCTTTTGTAAATAACCATGTTAGAATGCTTGAGCATCACAGATGCCGATTTAAAATGTCTGCCATGAGAGGATGTGAACTATTGTAATGTTGTATTAGAACTAATTAGAAGTATCTCATTGGTACAGTTTCAATGTTCCCCTTGTCAGACTGTCTTACCAGCACACCGCTCCACTGTATATACCATCTGAACCTGTATCTAAAGCCCCAACCTATGTTTTAGATTCGGATGAAGTAGGGAAGGGTTAGCAACCCTGTTAAGTTTGTATTTTGCTTCTGCTAATAAGATTAAACCTTTATATTAGCCCTAGCAGACATTGTCACTGGAACTGTGAGGGGAAATCCAAAATTTCAAGTTGTCACCAGAGGAGGAATAAAGGGGAAGTCTTCTGTCAGTCTACAGGACAAGAAATTAGGGGGGTCTCCCCAATGGGATACAGACACAGCTACTTCACTACAAAGTTTTGGATTTAGATATACATTAAATGTGTTTCAGGGCAGCAGACCACGAACAGCAACATGTCCATCTCAGATGCTTTCCACTGTGCTTGGCAATGATATGCAGGTGTACACTTGAAGAGAGCTGCTCATAGAGTTAAATAAAACCTGAATACAAAGAGTGGGGAGGCTGTTCTGTCTCCTGTGTGGGCTACGTTGAGGGGATCCACACATATTGTATGTGGTGGCTCAGGTAGTCTCCAAAAGCCAATGTATACTGAACTGATTAGGTTGGGCACAGTTATCATTTTCACATTGATTTCAGGTTCTATTCACTGTTGACTTCGGATTGAGCTACTCCCTCCTGGGAGGCATCCACCTATCTTTGTTTTTTCTTGATTTTCACAGCTAGCTCCATGGCTTATAGCAGATCTTAGGGAACTTTTAGATGTTTTGTTATAATGAAATTTAACAGTTTTTTTATTTGATTGTTTTTGTTGTCCAGTTTTTAAATACAACCATATTTCCTATTAAAATTCAGTTGGTTAAAGAAGTTTCAAACTGCACGCATGGTAGAATATTGCTTTTACAGATTTTGCTACTTGTGTTTGTTAAACATAATCTACATCAAGGGCTGCTATTACAGACTTGCTCATTAAAATGCTAACCATATGCACAGAGGATCTGCGTTCATTCTGACTTTCTTGATCTATATGCTTGTTCTGGGTCAGTAATTCAGAACTCATTAAAGCCACAGTAATCTAGGCAGCTAGCATTTTCAGAAAGATGTCAGCAATGCTAACCTCTACATTTCTCTCTCATGCTAGTTTCCTTTAGTTGGTTAGGTAGCCCTTCATAGTGAGAAACCACAAGGAATGTTGGGGTCAGGAGGTAGAAGCAAGATCAAACACTACCCAGAAATGTGGGAGCTTTGCCTGTCAGATCAGCCCAGTATTCAGCTGTAACCAACAGCTTTTGGGTCTATTGGTGCTTACAATTAATACCTCAAGCAGTTTTTTGCCTTCCTGACACAGTTTGTTTGACTTCGTCATGAAGTATTTATTGAGACGAATAAAAACTTCTCACACAGTTTTTATAAACACTGTTCTGACGCAAGATAGTGAGATACACAGTAACAGTGTTAGTTTTGTATTTACTCTTGTTTTCCTCATATGCAGATCAATAGGATGAGTTTCAATCTGCATATGTCATTTAAATCAAACCTGACCAGATAACATTTTTATTTGTTTTTCGTTGTTCCCATGTAAGCTCTTATGAACCCTTAGTTTACCATAATTAGCCCTATTTGACTCCTTCTCTCTCTAGCTAATATTTTCCTGCTGATTTTATCTTTGTTTACTAACAGTTAACAGTAAAGCTTTTTAAATTTGTATTTGTTTTGTTATTTTCTTTTCTATAGCTGTTGCTTATGGGGTTCCAAGTATCCACCTGGGACTTGTGAACCTGTGGTTCCCCATGGCGGAGTCCCAACCAATGTATTTCACTGTAAGTCAATGGAGACAAGTGGCATTATGAAAACACGGTAGGCGTCCATGGTCCACTGTTTTCCCCATTAGGAAACCCATCCTGAGAAATGCCATGTGGCCATCACTGGAATGCATGCATGTAGACAGGAAGAAGCTATTAGGAGATTTCCCAGCAGCACTGGGAAAGGGTGAGAATAGTATTTAATTTTAAATACACCAACATGTTTATCTTATCCAGTGCTTTAGCAAGGAAAATGTAATTCAGTTATGGTTTACATCTACTTTAGAGGGTCAGTCCAGTCAAATATATTTTTCGGTGCAGTCTACTGGGATGAGTAGCCTTACAAAGAACAAAAACTCTGGGTGAGGTGAAGTGAAATGTAAGCAAAGTCCACACATTGGTATAATACAGATTAATTTTTATTACACTCAATAACAGTCCACATGTATAGCAGTGGGAATGTAAAAACATTTTAACATGGCTTGTATTTATATAGAAACACATATCCATAGGAATATATGTATCCTTTTATTATAATAACCACATAGCACATGAAAGAAAAGGTACTCTTGATGACCAGATCAATTTTCTACACAAAGCCTTGTATGTCTGATCAAACTGCCATACATATTCCTTCATCTGACAATGAAGGACTTTGGCTGATCAGAGTATAGCAACTTTCTTAATCATCCTTAACAAGTCTGGATAATTTGGCTTTGTCACCTTCAGTATGCATCAAAACCTAGTGCAAAGTTCTAACTAGCACGTGATATTTCCCTGCCATTTTATGCATAAATTCTTAGTAACCACAAAAGTAGTAATACACACTATTGTCTTTAACGATGTTGCTATCCCACAGTTCTATGTGCACATCACTCTCGCTACAATTTAAAGCATGGTGGGCTAAATTTACTTAGATATGTCTTTTGACTAGGTTCTTGCTTATTATATAAAGTGCATGATCTTGATACAATAACTCTACAGATATTGTGCGGCCACTTTTTCTTTCACTACAAGAACTGGTAGCTTTCAGCAGCCAATAGGAAAAATAACACTTGACTTCTACATTACCTGAGTCTATTGTGGCACCATATCTTTACACCTCAGATTGGTCTTGCAGGAGACAGTAATACCATCACTGTTCACACTGTACTACCTGAGAATTATCCACTCAACATTTTTGTCGTTGGTTAAGGATGCAATTGGGAAGTGGTTTGGCTTGTTAAATATGCAAACAAATGGCATATTGAGGTAGAAAATGTTAAAATATATTTTAAAAAACATAAGCACAGTAAAAGCCATAATACGGTGCTTACTCATAGTTTTCAGGTAGACACGCGTTAAGATTATACGCAATTAAGTGCCAGGCTGCCAAGAATACACAACAGTAGTGGAACTCTTCCGGTGAAGGACTAAACTCGAATTGCATTTCACAAATGCGTTACTCATCTTTGCAGGGATATACACATGAATTTGTGTTCTTAAGACCTCTTAACTCATATCTAACCGCTTCTGTATCAACAATTGTCAGTCACCAATGTGGTGTCTGCTTCTATACTTTATAGTGGTGACCCAAGTAATTTAGACAGTAAATACACGTGCTACAGTAAAAACTTATGTCTCTGTTGTGTAATTGCTGTATGCCATGGAAGAAAGAGAGGTTAAGTGGCTGCTCCACTGTCTGCTCGAACTTGCAGCGCTGGTCTCTTCCTCCCTCTGCTTATGTTTGGCGACAAGTTGCTTGGCCTCCTCTTCATCCTGGAAAGGACTCTCTCCAAAGGTCTCCTTTAACCATATTCGGTGCTAGAAGTATATGATTAAAAAATATTTAAGCAGCGGGTAAATTAAAGAAAACATGTACTGCTCATATTCTGTATGTACTTTGAAACCATTGGTGTATATTTATAAATCAGTGAATGTGACGTTCCAAAAGGGGTATCATCTTGGTGCATATGTTCTAATCTACAGTGACCGATCTACCTGTACCTGACAGTGAATGTCATATTTACTGCTTTATAAAGATACCCTGCTGACTTTTTAGAATCTAAAAACACACTACAAGCAATATTACTTTACATGTTATATTTTCCGCGACATCTACTTCAGAGAAATCTCATGAGCCTTACCTCATCTTATCCCATGATCTCATTGCTTAATTGCCTTAAAAACAGTGCTACCTATTTTTTTAAGGGGGTTATTCACAAAGGGTGAAGAGTTTGGAGAACAATCTAGGACAACATAGCTGATTTGGAAAGATTCTACATTTCAGGTCACTTTCCAGTTCAGCTATGTTGTACTAGATGGTTCACTTCTCTTGCCTTCTCCAAACTCTTCTCCTTTTTGTGAAATACCCTGTAAGTGTTTCTTCCAATGTGCTAGAGCACAGAACCCCTTGGATTTGACCAGATGGCTCTTAAATTCTACATTACCTTGTTAATGGCCAATCTTGACTTACAAACTTCTCGGGTTTTTACACGGGCAGCACATTTACTTAAAAATGTCAGTATGTAATTTTTTTAATGACCCCCCATTAGATTGTCCAATATACGTTATCAGCTTCACTAGAGCTTAAGTCCAGTGTGACTTTTAAAGTCGTCAACAGCTCGATTTTAGTTTTTCATATGGATAGCTAGTAACAGAACAGCTGAAAGAAAATTATTTATATGAAAGCGACAAATCACAAATGCACAAGCAAACAACAACTAAGATCTTTGCTCTTTTTGTGCAATCAAAACCTTGATTTGAGGTACATTTACTGACACACATTACTAATACATGTCATTTCACCCGTTAGGTTGATTTCTCCACTTTGTTTTTATATTCAATAATAAAGAGAATCCTGTTTCAATCTCTTTTAATCATTCTGAGATCCAGTCCCACACCTTCATTTGGTTATCATACCAAAGTGGTATGTATACCCCCTGTTAAGAACCCCTGAAGTAGAGTAACACACTGGCGAGATTATTGCAGGTAAAATAACAGACATCTAAATGCTAAATATGACATTTAATAATATTGTTTGCGTACCAGACTTTTAAGTAGCTAACATTACCTGATTATTTTTTTTCAACAATCTATAATGGTGCTGACAAATTTTGCAGCTCCTTTTAGATTGTGGCCTATGTCTCTACCATAGTCATAAACACAGCTTAGCTAATTTACAGGCTTCTCTATATGCTTTTAGCTTGTGAGAGGAAAATGACGTAAAAGGAGAAAGCCTACACTTACAAACTAACTTACATTTTCATACCAGTTTTGAAAAACCTAATATTACTATTCGTAAGAAGGCTAATGACCACACTCCAGTTTATTTCTTGCTATTTAGCAGCATTCCTTTCCCTAATTTTTTACCTCTTACAGTTTCAGCAAATTCATCTATATACTGCTCTGACCAATCTAGTGATCTGAAAAAGGATGTTTAAGCTTTTCCAAATATAACCAAATAAGGGTAAATATGCACGAGTGAACAGGATATGACATATGAAAACAAAACACAAGCTCTTGTTAGCAGCAGGCACCATATACATTTTCCACCTATACTAGTATCTATAAAATGTTGTAAATGATCTATTACAACAGCAAAAATAATTCAGCATGTGATTCAGCCCACCAGGGTAGAACCAACCATAACCAAGATATCACTTTTCATATATATGTTTAACTTAAAGTGAAAATCACTCAGTCTCATAGTTCTAGCTGACCTGTGACAATTAAACTGTCACACATCGGCTCGATAGATCAGGAAGTGAGCGGACACATAGCGTCGCTCACTCACTTCTCGATCTATCCCTGCAGAGAGCTGTGACTGTCACTCACGGCTCCCTGCAGGGATTCCCACCCTCCCCGATCCTCCAGCGCTGACTGGCGCAACAGACGAGGGAGGGGGCGGGCACAGCTGGCTCTGCCTCTAGATAGGCAGAGCCAGCTGTCAATCCCGCAGCTGGGTGGATGTCGGCAGTAATGTCAGGATGCGTCCCGGCTGTGGCGTCTCAGTATAAAGCGAGCTATAGCTCGCGGTATACTGAGCTTAGGGTGACGGGAGGACACTAGTTTGTGTCCTCCCGTTACCCTTAGGAGAACTATGGGGAAAAGCCCTGACCCCATAGTTCTCCTTTAAAGTGTATGTAAACCACAACAATGAGCTTGTTTTATTTACTTTTTAGTCTGGTTAATACATAATTGAAAGTGTTTTGTCATACTCAGGAAAATCTGGGAAGTTTCACTGCTTGGTGTAATAGCAGAAGAAAGATCTTGAGGGGCAACTGAAGGAAGTGCCAGACACAAGGGAGTTAGCCTATGGGCTAAAAGGGGCATCCTAAATACCCACATGCTGGGGATGGAAACTACCCAAGGACCTGGTCCAGATGTGCAAAGAGTTGCCATTTGTAAAAGCAAGGGCATACCTTCATGCAGAAGGCCTTTCAGAGTGATTTGCTGACCTCTGTCTTCGAGCCCCATGCGCTGTGGGAGTTAGGTTCTGAAGACACTCGAGCACCTACTGACAAAATAGATGATGAAGGTTGGGATTCCTTGAACCTTCCACAGACCTCCCATATTGAGGCAGGAGCACACTTTGACCTCCTGTGGCATTGCTATTTGCAGTGTCAAGTGCAGGGCCAAAGAGACATTGTTCCTGACAGAATAATCAAGGTAAATGTTACTTGCATACAGCATCAACATCCTAACCACGCAGCCAAAGTGCTCTGTGAATCTGCACAGGCATCAGTCCCATGCAAGACACAGGCTTAGAAGCATGTAGCAAGCCATTACAACTAAAGCACAAGGCTCAAGAAATTTGCTCCAGCAGCTTTATGAAAGAAGGGCCTAACCCAGCAGTAGTAGGATGCCCTTGAGGGAATCTACTCGTTCTGACATGGTCTAACAGTGGTATTGAAGTCAAAATTTGTAAATGCTAATCACTTGCAATGGATGCTGCTCCTTGATGTTTAACATTTTTAATTTCCTGCAGAATCAGCTAGTCCCCTGAGCACCAGCCCCGATATCCTGTTTTAGGGTGGCTCATTTGCCTTGAAGGATCCAATGGAGCCACCATTGTGTGTGCTAGTAAGCTGTGCGTTTCTCCACAAACATGCAGGCACAGCAAGGCAAGCCACTTCGTTGCTCCCCTCTTCTCCCACCTCGATTCTCTAAGCTAGTAGATGCAGAGCTGCTAGATATTGCTGTGTCCCTTGTAACCTAGTACTTAACAGGAAGTTCAGGGAAGCAGAGCTGAGAGTTGGAGCCAGCTGTTTAGAGGCATAATCACTGTAAAAGCTTGTGCAAAAATGTAAAGGAATACTTGGCTGGGCAAATTATATTTGGTTGATCTGGATTCATTATTGAAAAATAGTTTCAGAGTACCAGCCTGTATATGCCCCTTCATTACCAGGCCATTTGTTAGTTTTCAGTGCTGTGATGATTTGGCTAATTCATTCATGCAACACTGACCCAAAACAATGTTATATAATTTTTCGAGGCAGATAAGAGTTTTCTTTTGGTGGTATTTATTAACCGTTGGGTTTTTTTATTTTATACTATAGAAAATAAAAATTGCCAAAAGTTTTGGAAAAAACAATTGGTTCTTTTGCTTTCGGTTACTAAAATGCCAGGACAGTTCAAACATCACCAAAAATTACACAGAATTAGATACCCTAAGGTGATCTTATTTTTTTGCTGTAATTTTTGGCAAATGAAGAAACATGTTGGTATTGAGGGGGTTAAAATATGGAGCTTGGTAATCATGCACTAGATACAGCACATCAAACACAGAGGGATACACAAGCAGTAAATGGGTAATGTACAGGTCACATATAGTGGCAGGATGGAGATGAAGGGGTTATTGCACAAATATGCAGGATAGGGAAGATAAAGGGTTAATACACAGGTCAAAATACAGGCAGGCTGGAGATCAGTAATATAGGAGAGGAGGGGCACTAAAGTGGTTAAAAAAAAAAAACTAACAGAGAATGAATGACAAAGTCAGCAGCTACTGCTGCTGCCGCCTCAGCCATTCATTCTCCCATTGGCAAATGATTACAGCAACATGTGACTGCTGTGATTGGTCAACACAGCAATCACATAGTACCAAGCCGCTCAGATCTCTGTCTCTGTGTCCTGAGCTGCCCAAAGACAACTTGGTACACAGGCATTAGTGGATGCAGCAGGCAAACAATGGTTATTTAACTACTTGCTGCCTTACATTTGCACACACAATAAAGTCTGAATTATGCGCTTCAGACCCCCAAATAATTATATATTTTCTGAAAGCAGAGGCCCTGTAGAATAAAAAGATATTAGTTGCATCAGGGGAATCCTGCCATGCCAGTCCCGGGCTCACACTGGGGACAGTGGAGCCCAGGAAGTCGACGGCGGAGGGGGTGACGCACGCCGCAGCACCGTAAAGTGATCCGACATCTGAACAGATGCCGGATCACTTGTATTTAAACAGCAATGGCCAGCTGTATAAACCGGTACCAGGAACACGGCTGCAGCAGCCGTTTTCTTGGTATAACCACTTCAAGCGGAGGACATACATTTATGTGAACCCGCAGAAGTGGTTAAAGAATGACATCTTAATACATCATTCCAGAAATAGACATCCAACTATCACCATTTTTTTTTCTATACGGTGGTATGGAGGTGGTTCATACTACTGTAAGGTTACGGTCAGAACTGGAGGAGTGCTAGACCAGGAAATTCAAACTGACATTTAGGAGCCTGTCCTTGGAATCCCAAAAATGGTAAGCACACCATTAACCAGTTTAGTGGTATTCTTCTTAAAGTGGGCCACTGGTGTATCTGCAGCGGGAACAGACTACCCATTTACAAATTCGCTTTTAAGAGGGAACATTTCCAACACACTCTCAGGTGGGGCCCAGCACCCTTCAGGATGTCTGCAGTCCACATAGAGGAATATCTCAAATAGAAGGAGTGGTGGAAAGGTCTTTGCAGCCGTAGGAACTCTAAAAGAACTAAAGGCCTGGAACAGCAAGCTGATCCTCAAGATGCAGGGTAATACTCGGTGCATCAAAAAGGTATGAAACAAATCCCTATAAATCCAAGTCAACAGCAGGAGGCTGCGGTACCTCAAAATTGTCTTTTCAGGGATAGACTGTTGGGACTGTGAATCTGAGTCAGATATAGCAACAGGAGCCACATGCCTGGCTTGGTTTAGGGACTAAGGAGGGTCAGAGACAGACTCTGCAGTGGATGGTGCTAGGGCGAGCAGGCAGAGTGCCCATTAGATGAGTGTAAACAACTGAAAGGTCCTGAGTGGAAGTCTGCTTTGAAAAGTGGTAGAAGAGAAAAAGAAATATCCCATAACTGATACGGGCCATATTTAACCAAGATTACATCCTTCTACATACTCAATCCCTTTGATTTATTGGCAGCTTTAACAGGTAATAGAACTATGTTATAGGGGGACTCAGAAAAATAAAAAGTACTGGGCTAATGCTAGAGACAGACTGCAACATGTATGTCATTTTCTATTTTGCCCATAGTTCCACTTTAAACAGAATTCCACAAAAACATTTATTAAAACCACCTGAATACCTAACTTGTTTTACCATTTAAACTGCCAAAGGATTTATAATTCTGTACTGTCAGACGCATGATTTACAAACATCTATATCACTGCATAGCTGGCGACCTACTTGCATGCTGGTTTAGCAATCAGTGGACAACAAATTAAAATCATTGTCGCTGTACCAGAATGGAGGTGAAACAGGAAGTGATAAAGCTAAACCAAGGAATGCTGCAGTGATCTTCCTGGATGTCCAGAGGTGTTAAAATCACAAGACCGGCTGAAGAACTGTAAAATCGTTTGGCAGGTAAACCGTAAACTAGTATATTTCACATTGCATTTAGCAGTTTGCCTGTTTGCACTATAAGTTATAACATAAACACGTAAAAAGACATGTACAGTCAAAGTAATACAAATGTGATTTTAGTGGTTGGTTGAGTAAAACGGTATGATGTAGGCTGAAAACAAAATCTGTAAATTATATTTAAAGTCATCAGTTACCTCCTAAACTAATTTTCAATTGAAAATATGTTTTAGCACTGTGGATACCACAAAAATCGTTTATAAAAAGGGTTTCAGACACAATAAAGACTAGAGAACCACTATGTATGCCTTCTAGAACAATTCAGGTGCTTTCCACTTGTAGGTCCCATGTGTATATGCTATAATTACAGTTTGCTTGTTGCTGCGGCATGTAGCGGTTTTCAGGTCCCCTAGTTTTCAAAGCAGATTCCCCTTCCCCTAAGCTCTAAGGTTACCGCAGCTCAGCCACTACTGCACACGGCAGGACTTGGAGGTTCTAACATACACAACAAAAATCACCAGTATGTGCGTGTAACACTATGTACGTTTAAAGAGAAGAATTTTCATGCTTTAATTAATTTAAAACATGTGAAATTGCGAGGGCCCTTTTTCCATTTTGTTAGCAATAATGTGCTGCACTGCTTTTTCCTTGACACCCACTTCCCATAACTGCTGCCCCTCCTGCACTTCCTCCCAGAGGCATCACTAACGCCGGGCATCCAGGACACATGACTCTCTTGTGGGTTGCCCTGTTTCCAGAGGATGCCTGCCATTTTTTCTTCAATCACCAGCCACTGCTTATTTTACTACATGTGGCTACCCTGCTTATTGTGCAATTCTCTCACATGGATCTGAGTGCAGACCGTGTCACCCAGGTCCAGGATATCCACATCATTCACATGCTTAATGCCTTCCATGTGCCTGACTGTGCCATCCCCATGCTGCTCCTGAACCAGCTGAACGTTATAGGGATCAAAATGATGTTTCTAACAATTCGAAGACTATGGACCCAGACTTGGGGACACCCTATGCTTATGTATGTATGTATGTGTGTGTGTATATATACATACACACACACACACACACATTTCATATTATATATTACATATTATATACACACATACTGTATGTGTTGTCCATGTGAGTGTTTAATATTTACAGAGCCACCCCACTTAATGCAGCTGATCAGAATAATTTGGTTTAGTGGTAAGGAAGGGGAAGCAAATTAAGTATTTTTGAAATCCACATCTAGAAGAAATGAGTCAGCACCTATGTTCAAAATCCAACAGTTTCTTATTGAGTATTGAGGGGGGGGCTGTAGAATTTTTTCCTTCTCCTCCATAAAATGCTACCAATTACATATAGCATTTTAGTTCAATAGCACCACATACAGTAAGTACAGTAAACTCCCCGAAATCCGGCATCCACGGGGATTGGTATATTCTGGATAATATTAGTTTCTGGTTGCTTGAGAGTTGCTATTAAAAATGGGTTTAACTAATGCTATACCCTATACTATACAATACCATACCATAACAGTATATTGTACTCTAAACCATTAGCAATACATGGCAGTACCTGGAGTGATCACTAGGTGGTGCTTGTTCACAGAATAACACAGCACTTTCACAAATGATTGATCAGACACCTGTTTCCAGGATAATACAGCACTTTTCAGCCCGTTCCTGTACATTTCCATGCTTTAGAGCTCTCTCTCCCTCTCCTAGAAGGTCCGCAGAACAGTGAATAGACAGGGGACTATTTTTTTTTTGGCGGTTAGATGCGAGTCCCGGTTAGCTGAATACCGGGTAACAGAGTGTTTACTGTACTCATATTTCACTTAAAGTAAAATTGTCTGTCTCAAGGAGTAACCAACCATGTTTTGCAAAATTAGTAGCATTGGCTAGGAGAATTCTGTTAGATCTGCTTATCATAAAAACATTTGGGAGGAAATTGATTGTTCAACAATTCTTAGATCGACAACATATGAAACATCCTCCTAAAAAATAACAGTATATTATATTAGGCTATCATTTCCCACTGTGGAAAGTAAGATGTCAACTTTTATATTATATTAGGATGCAATTATGTGATTACAAGCCCATTATAAAAGGGAAGTTACAATACTTTCTATATCCAGCCTTTGATATAAATATGGAAGCTGCACTGCTGACTCTTGTTCCAGGGTGCAGGCTCTGAGGCTGTGATCCTAATCCTGGCTTCACTTCCTAGTAAGTCCCTGGCCTAGAACAAACATGCAGGATAGGAGTTTTGGATTTTCAAGCTTCACTAGCCGTATGCTTTTTTTTTAACAGTGCCTGTAATTCTTTAGGCAGTAGAGCCAAATTAACATGACAACCCCAAAGCCTGAACCTTTAAGCAAGGCAGCAATAGCAGCTCCCCTTTTTATCCTAACCAGTACATTCTATAGACAATGTTTCAATAGATCAAGTTTCTTTACTCATACAATAATAAAACTGCTTATGTGACCCTTTTAATATGGTAGCTCTAAGAAATAAAGTGTATATTTAGTGATTACTTACCTGGCGGACATCATGTTTTCCAAAGTCCTCAAGTTGCTTCTGAAAACCCATATTAGGGTTGGCACATGTCCTTGCCCCTCTAACAGCTGCCAATGCGTCTTCCCATTCCAAATTTGTAATTGTCATGACATAAGCTACTACCAAGGTTACACTCCTGGAAACACCTGCCAAGCTTAAAGAGCACAAGATTAGTTTAAATTTTCATCATAGTCTTAGTAGTGGTCTCAGCTTTACAACATTCAATTCTAGCTGTTCACCATTATAAGGAGAGTACACAAGTACACAGGAATGATGGGAGTACCTGTATAATTCCAGTATGAGGTGCTCTAGATGCCTGTACAGCAGGGGCGGACTGGGCCGGGTGGCAATTGCCCCCCGGGCCTCTCTGATGCCACCTCGAACGGCCCCTTGACCCCCGGCCGCTGCCACCTGCACCCGGCCGCCCGCCCTCCGCATCCGACGCGGCTCTGTGAATGGTGCGGCCGCTGCTCCTCAAGGAGGTGCTCGGGAGGTTCCAGCAGGGGGCCCTCTAACATGCCACGTCTACCTGGTACAGCCAGCGCGGATCGCCTCGGTATGCGATCCAGCTGGCTGGATCAGGCAGACGCGGCCCTGTAATCAAGCGCTGTAGAGGGGAGCCCGTTGGGTCCTTCCGAGGACCCCCTTGAGGACCGAGCAGCCACCGATCGCAGAGCCGCATCGGATGCGGTCCGGCCGGCCGGGTGCAAGTGACAAACAGGCGGCAGAGGGAGAGAGCCACTGCAGCTGCGGCCACAGCAGAACCCCCCCCACAACCAGGGTCCATGGATATTCACCTGATCCCTGCATCCACCAAAAGTGCGGCCTCCCGTCTCCCACGCTGTTAGAAGCTGCATACAGAAGCTCCACACGCCGCCCCGCCTCACCCTTGCTGCATCCACATGCCGCACCTGCTCCCCGCCTCACCCTTGCTAAGCTGTTGGTAGTCATTATTGCTGGGATTTATAGTCCGCTATAGCTGATGTTATTCTGCATTGTTGTGTAATGTATTGCTGGGAATTGTAGTTCTCTATAGCCAATGCCATTCTGCAATGCTGTACAATGTATTTCTGAGTTAGTGGCAGAAGTACCAGGGTCGCAGCAGTCATGCACGCGCACAGCCCTGACGAGCCATCCCTCCACTACCAGTGTGCTTTACATTTCCTAAACCGATAAATACATTCACACTACTGTTACATGGATGGCAAAAGTGGCAGACAGGGGCGGGGAGAAGGCGGGGAAGAGGGAGAGCGGGAGGGGGGCCAAGTTGCCTCACCATGGGCCTCTGGGTTGTACTTGCCCCCTGGGCTAAAAGTTGCCAGTCAGCCCCTGCTGTACAGTGACAATGAAAGCTGGCAACAGCAACCCAATATCTACAGGACAACAATGGTCTATCACAAAATTAAGTCACAGGACAGGCTCATAGAGAGCACAGGATTGCTAATAAAAAGCAAAACATTCTAAATTTTGCATCTCTTTCCCCTTATCTGATACCTTAGCTCCACATTACATTGTAATCAGAATATGATTCATGTACCATCTTTTCACACATCAGACGTAGACACTCATCAGGGCTTCGGTCACTTACTAGGCCTACAGATTGGCTTGGAGCTTTCTGACATGCATATCAACATTTAGAGTCTAAGGCTTTAAACGTATTTCCTAGATCAGTTTGGTTAAAGGATCAACCTGAAGTTTTGAAAAAGTAGATCACACAGGCTTTTCAGATTGCAAAATATATTCTGAATATGCATTTCAACTGAAGGAGATGGATACAGTACATACAGATTATATAGTAACAGTTTACATAAATAAAGTTGGGCACCACTGCATTCATAAGCAAACAGATTTCAGCTATCACCATTTTTTAACTTCCCAAATAAATGCCAAAAAGTGGCCATAGCAGTGATATATTATCAAAGCTGTACATACCAGTGAACAAGACAGCCTTCTCCTTTCAGCCGACACTCATGGATGAACGCTGTACTCTCTTTAAAGTGTTGTATCCTTAGAAACAACATAAGGAGAAAAATGATTATAACAGTATATAAACTTTGCAGGTTGAACACATTTAGCATTTATTTATAGGTTATGGTTAGTAAAGCAGTCCCAGTGTTCCTCCAGACACAGCTGTGACATTAACAGTGCTTCATTATGTAGAATTACACAAATGTTAGGAGGTACAGAGTTGCAATGTGGCTGGGTAAGAAAATACTTAAAACATTTATCTATATTTCTTTTTTGTATCAGTATTGTCACTCCTGTGTTTAATTACTAAGTTTGAGTATACATATAAAGACATGAACAATTAGACTATTTAATGATTCACCTTTTATTTAACAATTAGGCTCTGTTCATATTTATGTGATGCAGCAGCGAGTGCAACGCATGATGCAAAGTTAGGTGTGCTGTGGTGCCATTATTTCCTAATGGCCATAATTGCCAATTTTTCTTAATGGCACCCCAACACACCTAGCCATCACATGTGCATTGTATTGCATCATGTTGCATGGTAACCTATTACCATGTGATGGGGTGCAGATAAAAAATAGAATAATAAATAGTGCACACACTTTAGTGAGATTTAGCTGTGGTAACAGCCTATACAAATGAATGGGCTGATTATTCAGTAGCTATTCAGTACAGGTCACTTATAAAGACATTAATGACAACTGCTGGGTTATTACTTTCTATTAGACATATAAACTCAAGCTAGTAATCTCTTGTCAGGTTGAAGATGGTTTCCCACATGTGTTCCATATTTTATCAGAATCCTAATACTAATATATATATATATATATATATATATATATAATCGTATTTTTCCGTGTATAAGACGCTACTTTTTCATAAAAATCTTTATCTAAAAATAGAGGTGCGTCTTATACACGGGGGCCGCGGTTTTGAAAGTGCTGATACCACTGCAAACTAGCCTCACGGATTGCAGAGACAAGATAACAGTTCTACTCCAGTCATAAATCTTTTGAACCTGACGTCAGCTGTTGCTGGGGAGATCGTGTAGGCAGTGCCCAGAGCGGTAATGTCGGAGCATTCTGTGACCATAAAAATGTCAGAAAGTGAAAAACAACCTGTAAACTCTCTAAACTCATGGTATGGTGTCAAACAAGAGGTGATTGTGAAGTCCTTCAAGAAATGTGGAATCAGCAATGCCATGGACGGAACTGAGGATGATCTTGTATATATAGACAGTGACTCAGCAGACAGCAGTGATGCAGCAGAAGTTGAAGAAACTGATATGTTTGAAGCTAAAAGTGATGAAGAAACCAGTGATGCAACAGAGGCTGAATAAAGTGATTGGCTCAGAGGTAAGTGTGATGCATAATATAATTTAAAATATTGATTTCTGAATTTTGGGTAAGAAAAGTTGGGGGCGTCTTATACATGGGGGCGTCATATAGACGGAAAAATACGGTGTGTATATATATATATATATATATATATATGTATATTTCTGGCGTATATGGAGCTTGCAGGTAGCGTATGCAAGAATTGTTTACACCTATGTTTCAGCGAGTCACTGCCCACTGCCCACCTATATCAAGGTACCTTGATAAAGAAGGGCACAGACTCGCTGAAACATCGGTCTAATGGCAGGTGTGAAAAAATGTAAGTAAGAATGCTTTAAGAAATAAGTGTTAAAAATGTATTTTTATCGATTAAAATTATATGGAAAGTAAACGAACAGAAGAGAAATCCAAATCAAATCAATTTGGTATGACCACCCTTTGCCTTCAAAGCAGCATCAATTCCTCTAGGTACACTTGCACACAGTTTTTGAAGGGACTCGACAGCTAGATTGTTCCAAACATCTTGACAATCTAACCACAGATCATCTGTAGATGTAGGCTGCCTCCAATCCTTCGGTCTCTTTATGTAATCCCCGATATACTCGATGTTGAAATCATATCTCACCATCACTTCCAGGACGCCTTGTTCTTTGCGCTGAAGATAATTCTTAATGACATTGGCTGTATGTTTGGGGTCGTTGTCCTGCTGCAGAATAAATTTGGGACCAATCGCACGCCTCCCTGATGGTGTGGCATGCTAGAAAAGTATCTTTTTGTATTTCTCAGCATTGAGGACACCATTGATCCTGACCAAATCTCCAACTCCATTGACAGAAATGTAGCCCCAGACTTGCAAGGAACCTCCACCATGCTTCAGTGTTGCTGTATACACTCATTGTTCCATCCTCCAGTCCTACAGAGAACCAACTGCCTCCTGCTACAGCCAAGTATTTGAAATTTTGACTCATCAGCCCTTTTTTCTGCACCCCAGTTCCTATGTTTTCGTGCATAGTTGCGTCGCTTAACCTTGTTTCTACTTTGGAGGAATGGGTTTTTGGCCACAAGGCCGCAGAAAAAAGGCAGCAGGTGCTCTGGACTGATGACTCAAATTTTAAATATTTGGTTATAACAGGAGGCAGTTTGTTCACCGAAGGGCTGGAGAGCAGTACAGTAATGAGTGTCTGTAGCAACAGTGAAGCATGGTGGAGGTTCTTTGCAAGTCTGGGGCTGCATTCCTGCCAATGGAGTTGGAGATTTGGTCAGGATCATTGGTGTCCGCAATGCTGAGAAATACAAGCCATCCATGCTATACCATATCCATCATGCAATGCCATCAGGGATGCATGTGATTGGCCCCATAAGTGTAGTCTGCAGCAGGTCAACGACCCCAAACATACAGCCAATGTCATTAAAAACTATCTTCAGCATAAAGAATGGTATTACTTGAAGAGACAGAAGGATTTGAGGCAGCCTACATCCACAGAAGATCTGTGATTAGTTCTCCAAGATGATTGGAACAACCTACCTTCCGAGTTTCTTCAAAATCTGTGTACAAGTGTACCTAGAAGAATGGATGCTGTTTTGAAGGCAAAGGGTGGTCACACCAAAATATTGATTTGATTTGGATTTCTCTTCTGTTCATTTACTTTCCATTCTGTTATTGATGAAAAATAAACTACCAACACTTTTATTTCTGAAAGCATTCATACTTTGCAAAAGTTTTAGGTAGGTGGGAAAAAATGCTGTACAGTACTGTACGTACATACATACAAAATGTGTATAGTTTGCGTCATCTTTGCATTTCCTTTCTTCTTTAGCTGACAAAATTGCTGACCGTGAATCTACTTTTCCTCCCCTACTTGAGACCATTACATCCTCTCCTAACTAATGAACCTCGGCTTCATTTGTTTACCGTTCATAAAAAGCCAGTTCCTTGAGAAGATTGTGCCAGGAAGTGGTTATGTGTTTACATCTATCATCACACAAGGTATACAGTATGTTCCACTTAAAAGCTATATTAGTAACATTCTAATGTTTTATGCTAAAGCTTTGTACATTTTTATGCATTTTATTTTGCAGCATATGTTCAATATAATGCATTTTATTTTGCATATGTTATGTGCATATGTTCAGTATAATAAAGTTGTGCTGCAAAATAAAATGTAACAGTCAAACATCTGCCTGTAGCCAATACAATAAATGATACTATATTTGGAAAGGACTCCGTTCAAGCAGGATACAGAAGGTAGAAGATACAAAATCTTGATAAAATCAGAACAACTTCTAAAGAATCTCAGGAAAGGGTTACATTTTCTATTCACGCAGTTGTTACTTGGTAAGATTAGCAGGATATGTCAGTGACAAAATAAAACTTTGCAACAGGTGTTGTGAGCATACAATTTTACAATAGGTGTGTTTTAATACTGGGCTACTGCAAAGCTGTTAATAATTAATCTGCGACCCAAATCTCATATGTCTGATAATTTATACACGTACCAAATATCTTGCATATTTTTACTGGCTGAAGATGATTTAGCACAACACATGTTGCATAGCTATGGAAATTGTAAATGTTTACTTTTAGACTGTTGTGAAGGTTAGTTTACACTGATGAGCTCATCTTTTGTTCATGTTGGTCTCTCCTTCTATCAGCATGTTCCATGTTAGCACATGGACTACTGAATTGCTCCTTGTGCTGCCTCTCCCTTTTCCAGTTTGAGCTCTGCTCTACAGGGATTGCAAGTGGGTTATATCAAGTCAAATTCAAATACAAGTGGTTTATATCAAGTCAAATTCAAGTGTATACACTTCTTGCCTTTTAATAATACATTTAATGAGCATTAATGAATGAATGTGTCTATTATATCTGCCAGAGTTCAGCATTATTCAGTTAGGTCGAGTCATAGTAGTAGCTAATCTATCCTGCCTCTAGTGGTTCATCTACAAATCTCTACATTTCACACAATAATAAAATATGTGAAAGTCCAGCATGTAAAATCTAAAAATCACATCAGCAATTACTTTAAAAGGTAAATACTGCAATAACAACTCAACAATGTATTCTTGCTAATAATTATCTATACTTTTCCTTCAAAATGGGAGTTTTTGATGGGATAGTAAAATTGTTAATCTATGCCCATCTGCTTGACTGCCCATGTGTAGGAAAAAACATCCAAATTATAAATAGGACACGTTTCCCTTGTAACTAGAGCATAGTGTTCTAGGTTAGGTGTGTGCAGCCAACTTCATTCTGGTTTGTGTTTGCATACGAACAGGGACTTCCCCTTTATATCACCTTTAACATGCTTTTTACTCCAGTGTTTGTCAGACTTTTGTTTTAATGAACGCTCTTAACGTAATTTTGCCATCTGTCCTTTGTCTCCTCAGATATGGCATCATTATCACAATTATGTAAATGTTTTTTTCCCCACTTAGCATCACAGCAATACATTTTCTAATTTTGATATGAAGCTATTATTTTTTACTACATACAGGACAACGGCTAGTGTCGGTTAGTGTCAAACTCCAGTTTGTATCCCTGGGATGACACCAACTGCACCCAAGCTTCTGAAATGCAGCCAGTCCATGCATCTGCAAAGTTTAACAAACATCTCTCCACTCTTGAAAGTTGGGACACACCTTCATGCCAAGGAAGGATTGTCTGAGGATTTGGTAGACTGAGTGCCAGACCTTGCGGACAGGGAGGCAAACTTGGGGGGAATCAACATGGGGGGCACGGGAGTGTAGAAACGAAAGGAACTATTCTTGACAGATCAAATGGGAGAAGACCTAGCAGGCTTCTTATGCTGCTTTCTGCTTTAGCCACCAGTAACATCCTTGATAAAGTACCAAGAGTTGTTCCGAAGTTATGTTGCCGCTTCTTACATGGTTCCGCAGTTTAGCACTTTAACCAAAGTGCCCTAAGCATGTGTTAAAGACCTATGCGAGATAAAAAGGCAAGTTTCTAGCAGACCATCACAACTGAAATTTAAAGCTACAGACATTTTCTGCACAGGCTCTTTAATGAAGGTATCAACCTCAGTAGTGGTGAGATCTCTTTTAAGCGATTTTTACCCATCAGCCATGTTGTATTTACATGTATATACATATTTATATTTTATTGGTTGGGTCCCTAAAGAGAGGTGCATTTTTCATTGGAATAGTAAGTACTTTGTTAAGGCGGGACACTGCTGGATCCATGGTGTGGATAGACTACGAATTAGAAAAGCAGGTGCAATGGAAACTTTTTGTTTTTTTGCTGCCTTATGAGCCTTAAAGGCCTCAAGACTGGAAACAGCACTGGTAGAAGCAACAGGCTGATCATCTAGTTCCAGAGTGTTGTGCACCATATGGATAAGAGCCACAATGGTCTCCTTCAATTTTGGAGTTATAGCAGACAGACTTCTCAGGGGCGAGCTCATGAGCCAAACTAGAGTGATCCAGAATCAGACAGAGTCTCTGTGGCTAACGATTTAGAAGCAGCCAGGGCCATAGGTAAATCAGACAGACAACAGGGGGAAGTGCAGGAGTGAGTTGGTGGCTATTGCAGTTAGTGTCAGCAAATAACTGGATGACTTTAATCATAATGTCTCATAAGACCATAGCAAAAGCCTCAGCAGCAAGGGCAGAGGAACCACCCAGACCTGGCAGGGAGCCAAGAATGATGATGTATGTATGTATGCATGCACAACTCTCCACCAAGCAGATGATGTCAGCGATCAGCACCACAGTGCTGCTTTCCACACTGCTTCTCCACAGTAGAAACCATCGAGAAACAGAAGGTTTTTTATTGCAAATTCTTATAAAACAGCTTGTGCAGCATGTCAATAATTACAAGTGTACATAATATGAACATTACAAGTAGAACCACCAGTTCTGAAAGGAACACATTGCATGCCGTCATGCAGTGCTAAAACAAGCCCATAGTTAGAAATTTTCTGTACCAGACATTCACATTCATTAACAGCAATGTACAAAAGAATCTGGAGTAAAGATGACATTTTTTTTTAAATATAATAAAAAAGCAAAGCTGAACGAAAGACATCAATCCTCTTAGGACACTAGCAAAAACTGTGGCATGCTGGTAGTAAGAGGGGTTATCCTGGGCTAGCTTACAGTTTTTTTGCTTGCTAGTGTCCAATCCTCCTGTAGACGGCATTATAACCAAATGTGAAAGACTTCCTGTGCCCTCAATTGGCAAGAAAGAAAACTAATTTATTGGGACAAACATTTATGTGGGGTGCTCCATTTAATCATTTGGGCATGCCTTATTGAATAGTGTATTGCCTTTTTAGAATAGAATAAGAAAGATTTACTTACAAGTTTTGATTTGGTGAATCAGATGCTGGAATGCAGAGATACTTCAAGCCCTGGGGAGAAAATGGTACAACTTGAGAATTAAAGATTTACTTTCTTTTTAAACACCACTAATTCATTAAATAGTGAACAAATCACTAAATACACTTGTGACGTTTCTGTATCGAAGTTTGTGCACAAAGTACTGGAAAGGCTCAGTAATACAAAACATTAATATGAATATCCAATAAACTGGACACATGAGGAAGAAACAGGCTACACATTCATATTGGATCATATAGATCTAAAAACAATAGGAATACAATCCTGACAGAGGTTCAAATCAACCTGCACTCTACTAATAGAAACTGCTTTCATTGCCGTCAGTGTGTTTTACTGGAGATGTTACGCTGCTCCCTAGTTGGGGACATACTGCCAACTCATTAAGGAATGAGAGAAAATCTCAATGAGAACACATCAAACACAAGCCAGAGGATGCAACCCTTCTCCAGTCTAACACCAAAAATGATAATAATAATAATATTCTATTTTAAGGAGATATATTGAACATGGACAGAAAGGAAAATATATATATTTATATAAATGGCCAGATACACGAAAACAGAAAATTCACCCAAGCATTTTGTGGAATTGTACCTGAAAACAATTATACAGATATGTGAAAGTTTCATAAGTATATGAAAAAAAATTGTCATGTAATTAACATGTACTCTCTTCTACAACATCACCGGTCATACTATAAATACAAATACGCTTTTTAAACTGTTGTCAATTACTAGTTAAAAAAAAGGTAATACAAAAAGACCGATCAGCCATTGCATTATGGCCACTGAGGGGTGAAGTGAATAACATTGACATTATCTTGTTACAATGGCACCTGGACTTGGGGGGGAGGGGTATATTAGGCAACAAGTGTACATTTGGTCTCTGGAGTTGGTGTTGGAAGAAGAAAAAATGGGCAAGCGCAAGGATTTGAATGACTTTGACAATAGCCAAATTGTGATGGCTAGATAACTGGGTCAGAGCAACTCCAAAACTGCAGCTCCTGTGGGATGTACCTGACCTGGAGTGGTCAGAACCTGCCAGAAGAAGTGGTCCAAGTAAGAAAAACCATTGAACAGGCAACAGAGTCATGGGTGGGCAAGGCTCATTGATGCACGAAGGGAGCAAAGGCTGACCCGTGTAGTTCGATCCAAAAGAAGAGCTACTGCAGCTCACAAATTGCTGAAAAAGTTAATGCTGGTTCCCATAGAAAAGGTGCCTGAACACAGGGTCTGCAGCTATGCCCATGATGACCCATGTCCACCGCTGAAAGCACCTACAATGGGCATCAGAACTGGATCACAGAGCAAAGGAAGAAGGTGCCCCGGTCTGATGAATCACATTTTCTTTTACATCATGTAGATGGCCAGGTCCATGTGTGTTGCTTACCAGGGAAAACATGGCACCAGGATGCACTATGGGAAGACAACCAAGCGGAGGCAGTGTGGTGCTTTGGGCAATGTTCTGCTGGGAAACCTTAAGTCCTGCCATTCATGTGAATGTTACTTTCACACGTATTACCTACCTAAACATTGTTGCTGACCAAGTATAGCCCTTGATGGAAAGGGTATTCCCTGATGGCAGTGGCCTCTTTCAGCAGGATAATTCGTCCTGCCACAGTGCAAAAATGGTTCAAGAATGGTGTAAAGAACACAACAATGAGCAGGGGATATCTTTGAAAGTGGAGAAAAAGGATCTTAAATTTACTAGATAAACAGGTTTCTGCCCCAAAAACAGCCAATCAGGAGAATGGTTGGAGAGAGAGAGAGAGAGAGAGGGGGGGGGGGGGGGAAAAATGAGACGAACTGTATAAATTAAAAATCATCACATCCCTGTCTGGTTTAAACCCAGCAATACACTGAGGCAACAACTGGTTCACCCAAAAGACCCAACGCCAAAACACAAGATGAACAACATTGTGTACGCAGTTCAGTGCAGTGAGAACAGCAGCTACACCAGCGTATGGTACAATATAGAAGAGCCAAACCCTTTGGTCAGGATTAGACAGTGTACATACATCTAAGGGAAAAAGGTCACTCCTTGGAAGACAGTTAAGTACTAGACAGGAAGGAGGACTGGTTTAAATGAGGTGTGAAAGAGGCCAATTATGTAACAATGGAGAAGCCAAGCTTGAATAGAGGTGGGGGGGGGGGGGGGGGAGAAACATGTAAGGACATGTATAAATACTAACCTAAACCCTGCAACTCTCAATCAGTTTTTTTTGCTATCTTCTATATCCCTACACAAATACAGATCGCTATGAAAGTGTACCAGAAATTCTCAGGGGAAAGTTCTGAACCTACGAAAGAAAGACTGAACATCAGCAACTGGCCCTCCTATGAAAGCAAGTTACACAATATTATTTAGTTTAAACTTTTAATAAAGATCAGGGAAAGTATAAATGTTTTTGTTAGTCAACTTTTACATTTTGGATTGGATTTGCATAGGAGTTGTGTTTTATGAGGGGCAGCTGCTAATAATATATGCATATGAAAAGCCCGACTGTCATCAATTTATTAAGAAAGCCCAGCACCTGCTGCATATTTTTTGGCAGCCAATATAAACTAAAAAATCTAGATTGTCCCATCTAAGCTAAACAAGGGGTGAGGGTATGTCATTAGCAATAATATACAGAAACACTTCTGTTACTCTGTTCTAACATTATACAGTAGTTTTTTTTACGTGGTTCAAAGTAAATCAAACAATTAAAGGATTTTAATCTGCCGTCAGCAAAGCACCTGGTGCTAACAAAGCCAGTTTGCCAACTTGGATTTTACTGTTTGCCTAAAGTCCACGTAAACGAGAAAAAAACCCAGTTTGAAACGGCAATGCTCAATGGCCAGGTCACCATCTGCAAGGAGTTTGCATGTTCTCCCTGTGCTTGCGTGGCTTTCCTCCGGGTACTCCGGTTCCCTCCCACACTCCAAAGACATGCTGGAAGGTTAATTGGCTCCTCTCTAAGTTGACCCTCCTATGTATGCATGTGAGATAGGGACCTTAGACTGTAAGCTCCTTGAGGGCAGGGACAGATGTGAATGTGTAACTTTGTAAAGTGCTGTGTAAATTGTTGGCGCTATATAAATACCTGTAATAATAATGTACACTGCACAATGCAAAAGTTCTTCAACAATCAAGAACATATTTAGAATATTTATACTAATTAACTTTATAAAATTCCAATGCTAATTGTGCATTAGGTTCAACATCATCTATTTGAGGGCCTATAAAATCAGTAAGAAATTAATTCTTCTCTCATAGAGATAATAAAACACTTTATATACATACATACATGTGATGCCAAGCCTGTTCTTGTATGCTAAACAGAACTCAACCATTACTGTACATGAATTCTGGGCAACATAGGCCAGAATTCTGAACCGTAAGAAAAAAAAAAAATCAAAATTGCCTACATATGAAGGTAAATAAATAGCACTGCAGTGTGAGACAGGGTAAAAAGAAAAACAAACAAACACCCTGGGTAGTTCAAGAAGAAATAAAATTGCCATCAAAGAAGTGTGGGGACAACCTCTTCAACCTTCCTAAAAATTCCAATAAATGTGCTCCTATTGCGGACCTATTTATTTTAGAAGGTGTCGCTAACCCACGACCTGTATGCAAATCAGGAAAGTTGAATGAAAGCCAAAAGTCAAAAGTCCTTATCTGTGCATATATTCTGGGTCAGTGATGCAAGCAGGTTAGCATGACAGCCAGACAACTAGCATTTTCAAAAAGCGAGCTCAGCAATGCTTTACTCACGACAGCTTTCTTTGAAATAGATCAGTTTCATGTTTACGCTTTTTGTTAGTAGAACAAGTATTGATGAGAAATCTGATGACTTTGCTGGGAAACCCCAGCTGAACGAAGTGGAGGGGGAGACCCAGATCCAGAGTGTAGAAGAGAATGGCCTCATTCTCACCCACCTCCTTCCCAGAACACACACACTCTCAAACTGTTGAATAGTTTGTTAAACTATTCAGCCAAACGCTGGCAGTACTGACCCTACTGACACATCTAGTGGTCAGGGCCGGCCTTAAGGGTGTGCGAGCAGTGCGGCCGCACAGGGCGCCATGGCAACAAGGGCGCCGTGCGGCCGACACAGCTCGTCCTGGGGGCGGCTTCTCTCCCCCTCACCGCTGGGCGCTGGCCATGCGATATGACAGCGCTCCCTCGTCCGCCCCCAGGGCGCTGTAAAGCTTTCTCGCACAGGGCGCCTAAAGGCCTAAGGCCGGCCCTGCTGGTGTTTATCACATATACTTCGTTGGAGCACAGTCAGATAACTAGCTGGAAAAATATGTCAACAGTTAGCTGTGCAAAAGATAGAGCGAGCCATTGAAAACTATGCTGTAGTTATATTCCAAATACAAACACCAAAATCCTCAGAAGACATGTCGAATTCCAGTATGCAGAAAAAAGATATACAAAAACACAAAAAAGTACCGTATATCATATAATAGAACACAGCGAGCAATGACAAGTCCAGGTTTTGAAATTGGATAAAGTAACCCCTTCTGACTCAAAGGGTTAGAGAGTTTCTCTAGCATTACATAGAAAAGTAAAATATAAATACAATAAACACGCAGCACAACATAAAATGAAAATGCTGTGTTACAAGGTTTGAAAATAACTTCTGAAACTACTTAAATTTTACTGAGATTTTAGGGATTTGGTTTCGATCTACTTTAATGATATCCACCTCCATATTACACACCTAGAAATCATTATTTTTCTAAATTCTGTACACCAGTTCAGTTAGCTAGTTAACGGTTCAAAAGACAAAGGTTTAAAAACCAAATTCATTGGCAGCATTAATAGAAAAGTAAAATAGCAAGGTATTTTCAAAAGCCACCTGGTCCTTGGCATACTATTTTGTACTGGACACATTAAAGTGACACTAAATTTAGGAGTTAAATCTTAAAAATGCATTCAAGTACCTTAAATATTAACAAAAAAGTATCTTATTTGTGTATCACTCAGCTGTAGATCCTCAAATCATCTCTGAGTTCATGTTGAC